AAGAAACCCTTTTAAAATCTGTTGAGTAAGCCAAAATCACATAACCGGGAAATCACTCGGACAAGAAGTCATTCAAGTAGAGAATCAAGCAATCACGCAGACAGAATATCATTCAAGCAGGGAATAACACGGACAGAAAATCATTTAAGCAGGAAGTCATGCAATCATACAAACTGGAGATCAAGCAAACGTATGCGCCTAACCATCAAAATGGGAATGAAAGGGTCTGCACGTGCGAATAGACAATAATTGATGGGCTTGTAACACTTGCCCTCGTAAGCTGGGACTACCTTGGAGAGATACCTGGTTCCTGTAAGGTTCTAGAACTTGTAACGTTGTGCCCCACTCGCTGGTTCTGCAGATGGTTACTTGCTTATGCTCCAAGAGACTTAGCTGACTTCATGCCACTTCTCTGGGTTGGGCATCACGGTCTTCCCAGTCAGGGGTTTTCTTTAATTAGTGGTTGCAGGTCACGTGGCAAATTCTTGTTTGCTCGTCGCATGGGAAGTTGTGCCACACTATCCTCCTTACTTCTTGTGAGCTAGCGCTTCTTCCTTTTCCTAGGTCACGTAATCCATCCTATTAAAGAGACATCGCTTCGGTTTATGGATCGAGACAAAATTAATTGCAGACTTGACCTTTTGTTTTGGTTTCCTTTCGCTATTAACCTCGGATTTGTGGTTGTCTCTTCCTCTCCTTCCACTCCTATATATAGTTAGAGTGTGCGATCTCTCTCTTCACTTCTTCTTTGAACTGGATTTTGACCCATGCTCTTTCTTCCTTTTCCTTTTCTTTCTGATTGGTTTTGCAGTTTGTCTCTGAGCTTTGTCGAGATGGTTGACGAGGATTCTGCTTCTTCTGATGTCTAGGTCTGATTGGCTAGACATCAGCTGCTTTCGGCTCGTCTCGAGTTTCCTGAGGTACTCCCAGGCCCAAGGGTATTTCTTCCAGTTCCCGAGGCGGCACCAGTCACAAACGTTTTCATCGATGAAGGCACGACTCTTCTTTTAGGACAGGCCATTCCTCACAGCCCTCGCTTTATCAAGCTCCGCGGCCCCATCTTCTCGAGGGGTCCATGGCCTTTTTTGGTCCTTCGTTGGAGGACATGAGGGGTTGGTTCTCCGTCTAGGGGTGCTATGGCTTTCCGGTGTGACGGTTGCACTCGCTCTGTCGACGTGATCAACTTTGGCCTGGAGAAGGCGATTGAGTCGGTGGCGTATCTCGGAAACTCTCCTATATGGATACAGGAGCGGGAGGGAAGAGTCTTGGAGGAGATGCAGCGGTTTCATCTTAAGATGGGTTCTCAGGGCGTCACGGGTAGTGGCTCTTCCTGCACCGACAAGGTTCCCTTGGTTTCCCAATCGGGTTCCAGGCTTCCTTTCCTTGAAGAGCGTTTATGCGCTGAGCGCTGCCAAAACGACGCCCTAACAGGGAAGATCTGGACTCTTCGGGAGCGTGTGATCTCGTGTTCTACCCAGGCGCCCAGGCTGTGAAGGCTGATCGTGGCGGTGCGTCACTAGGGATGATATCGAACAGTAGTGGTGAACAGCAGGGAGAAGAGCTGGTTGGCTTTCGGTGTTCGACCGAGTTGCAGAGTTGAGTCTTCAAGTTTCGTCCTTTGGGGGGGGATGAACGGCATGTGGTCCAGAGGCGAAAGTCTATCGGGGTCTTGTGTACATTAGAAACGAGTAAGTCGGGCCTCTGGGAGAACTGGAAGGGGGTTTCCTTCCCGAAGGTTCTCCAATGCTCAAGTTAGATTGCGCTCCACTGGGAACAGATACTCATGAGGGTGGATATACAGTGTTGTATATGGTTTGGGTACTGCATCCAAGGAACGTGATACCCATCTGTCGTTTAGTGAGGATGGAAACAAGAATGGTGGACCATCGTGAGAGTGGGGTTGGAACTTTCTCTTGGTGAGTGTTAAAGTAGAGGATTATGGTGGAAGAAAAAGCTTATCTCAGCTGGTGATCCTACCGAGGAAGAAAAGCGTGCTGTCTTTTGTCTCGATGTATGACTGGGGCCGTGATGAGCTCCGGTGATGGTGTGGATGCTCAGCGATTCTCTCCCTCCTCCCTATTCATATCTCTTATTTGTGTATTCTTTCTACATCCCATTCCTCTCTCAGATCTGAGCTCCTGCTCTCCTTTGGCATTCACTCCCCTTTTATACCTCTCCTAATCGGCAAGTGGGCTAGTGCAGCAAACCAACTGCCTAAACAGTCTGTTAGGGAGTCGGTGGACAGGCCAAGAGGAAAAGATCGTCATTCCGGTATGACTTATTGCTGGCGCGTCATCTCTTGGTTGGTTGTGGTAACACTGGGCCTACAATATTAGTTAAAAGAAATATTTAGCTAAATAAATCTATTATTATTTGAGAAAACGCTTAGGGGGTGCATTGAAACTGAAGTTTTTGAGAATTTGTAAAGATTTGAGTTTTGATGAACTTTTAGATAATTTTATTTGAATTGGAGAAATTGATATGATTTGATATTAAAGTTATAGGAAATCTCACTAAAAACAGTGAGATTTAGTTTTTTATATTTTTAACTAACAAACTCCACCAAATCATCTAAAAGTACATAATATTTTCTAAAATCCACTATTTAAAATATTTCTAATAATAGTAGATTTGATTTAGTTTTTACAAATTTTTGATTGAATATCATGGAAGTTTAAGTGATTTTAATTGGTTTTATATAAATTTTATGCTCAATAACATAGATTTTGGTAAGACATTTAGAAATCATTAGTTGAATAACATGAAATTTTAAAATAACCACAACGTCTTCTTAAATTTCAGTTTTAATACACCTTTAAGTTCTAAAAGCTGATTTGTCAAAAGGAGAAGATAAATTATTGTATTTTAATTGTTACTTGGAAATGTGACATAACAACTTTCCCCAAATAAATGAAATGTTTTAATTGGCTGAATTAAATTAAATAAATTATGAAATTATAAGGAAAATACATAAAAATATAAAACTAAAATTAACAAATTTATATTATTACTTGAGAAAACTCTTAAGTTCTAAAAGCTGATTTGTCAAAAGAAAAAAAGTAGTAAGTATATTTTAATGGTGACCTGGAAATATGATCAGACAAATTTGCTAAAATGAACAAAATATTTTGATTGGTTGAATTAAAATTAAATATATTATAAAATTATAACTTAATTATATTAAATATATTAATTTATAACACTAAAATTAACAAATTTCAGTTAACATAAATGATAATTACTATGATTTCATTTTATACATATTCATAATAGTTTGCATAAAATATGATTACAAAATAGAAGTAAAAAATAAAAATAAATCTGTACAGTTTTGGTTTTCCATAAAACTCTTATGCTTTAATTTATTGAGTCATTTAGTACTTAAAAAAACCAAATTTTATAATAAACTCATGTGCCGATCGAATTTTACAATGTACACATGTATGCAGACCAACCAAAAGAAATTTATTTTCTTCAGCAATCGAATTTCTCAAGTAATAAACGAAGAGATGAGTGGAAAGCTGGTGGAGAATTTTATAAATTATGATTTCGCACACTTTATAATAATTTTTTACTATAAATTTTATTGAAAAGAGAAAATTAATATTAAATTATTTAATGTATTATATTTATTTTCGTGGTGTAAAATAAAATTTTATACTTTTATATTTTTTTAGAGGTTCTTTGTAATTTTTGTTAATATTTAATATAAATTTTAATTTGAAACCGTCTATCACTAACAACACTAAAAAGTAAAAATTTTTTATTAAATACAAAACAATAGAAATAGTTTTCGTGATTGTTGTTAAGCGTCAAAAATTGCATCGTGTAAAAATATAATATTTGTGAAAAATTTTAAAAAATTAACTAACACTTAAATATTATAATTTTATTTCACATGCATGTACAAACATACATATTTATTTCTTTTTATAAGTTCAACTATATATTATAAAAATATATGTTACAAAACATATACTTTATTATTTTCTTTTGATACATAAAATTCATAATCTGTTTTTCACAAATATGCGTGTAAATATGAATATTAATTATGCAAAATTTGAAGTCGCATGCGAACTTATCGTGTATGTATTTTATTAATTTTGATTACAGTTTAATTTTAATTTTAATTATTAGATAACTTATTTTTTTAAAAAAAATATCTATTTGTCCTAACAGCGGTGAGATGGTGCATACGAATCACCTCACCGCTCTTAGGATAAGTAAAGATGGTAAAACCTATTTTAGTTTAACTTGTAATAAGTCAAAAAAAAATATATATATATATATATTAGTTAAAATATATTATGAAACGGGAAAATAAAACACAGTATAAATAATATATAAAAATAGTTTAAATTTTAATTATTATTTAATATAATTTTTATATTTGTAATTATATATTTTTGTAGCCATTTGAAAAATATTTTTTTTAATCAGTTCAAAAAATAAAAAACGATATGAAACTTTTGTTCACTGTTGTTAAATATTAAAACTGCATATATAAACAAATATAATATCTATTTGAAAAATTATACTTACAATATATACGGACAAACCACTTAATTATAATTATTCAGTATTTAAAATTGACCAAAAATAGAACTTGTTATTTGGCAAAATCTGCCAAAATCCGCCGTTTAGCATACGCACTTTATTTCACACTTTTACATTATTGAAATGCATATGAGTCATGGTTTTGTCATACATGAAATCAAGACATACTTTAAGAATATTTAAAGGATAACAAAAAAAAAAAAAAAACTAAAGATCAAATACGAACCATTGACAGATTTTTTTTAGTGTTTTTCCTAATAAGTAATAACTATATTCTTCATCAACAATTATGATGATATTTCGAATCAATCAATTTAAAAATCATATATATATTCACACACACACGCAACTATAAATAATTCGTTCCATTTATATAGACAGTGACAGCTCTTAGAAACTATATATTCACACACACGCAAATTGTGCTTCTCACCATCTTAAGTAGATATGCTGAATCAAGTTCCTATACTAAATTTTAACATCATATTATTATCTACTTCTTCACCACTCTGTTTCGTTCTCTGTCTCTCTCTTTTTTAGGAACGCCATGAAAGGACAGAAACAAAGCTTAACATCTTCTTGTAATATCCATCCAATAGAGTTTATTGAAGGTGTGTGTCCTCTCTGTCTCAACGAGAGGCTTCTAGTTTTGGCTTCTCTGCAGAAAATATACTCTCCATCTTCTCCTCCTTACCACAACAGCAAAGGATCTTCTAACAAGAAAAGCATCAGACTCTTCTCCTTCCTCGGCTTCTTCAAACTGCGATGCCACAAGAAATATCACCAAACCACCTCCACCATCAGTCCAGAAGGTACCATATAGTATATATACACTAAACCCTTATATTTGATTTATCACATTGCCACCTTATACACGGCCGGTCTGATCGTTTTAAAAGCCTAAAGCAAATTTTTCAAAGTGTGGCTTCTCTAAAACTATTATTTATTTTTAAATAAATTTATCAAAGTGTGGCTTCTCCAAAACTATTATTTATTTTTAAATAACTTTTATTTATTTTTTTTTAAAATAATTTTTAATATTAAAACCTGACTACAATATCGTTCTATAATATTACTGTTGTTTCATTAATATGTGGTTTCGGATTTTCAAAGTAGATTTTATTATTATTTTTTTCAATTTTTATCCACATTTGTTTTGCTTACTAAATAAAAAGTTGACAAAGTTTAATATGTGTGAGTGAGTCGTTTAATAAAGTCTTTCGAATATGTTATGGTTTAAACTTTAAACTGTACCTTCGTAATGTGTTTAAAAGAATTTAGTCCTATAAATTAAAAAGTCCTAATCTTTAAATAGTTACCCAATTTAAAATTAAAGATATACGTAGAGATTATGGATCAAATGGTACAAGGTGCCTCAATTAATTTTTACGAATACCTATAGATTCATTCATTTCGATCAAGTTCGAAGACAACGGAGCAACGTCTTGGGAAAAAGAAAAAGAATCTTCTCAGCTTGGAAACTGCAAGGCTTCATGGGATCAACAATATCATGATCATGACATGCTCCACACGAAGGAGATTATTCGTCAGCTGTAGATTAAGATACCGAGAACTGAATGCTTCTTATTTAAACACCAAGTATTTATACAATAATGAAGTCGGTTCTAAATCCAATGCTAATTTAGGAAAATATACTTATCACGTTAAGAAAATTATACATATTCTTAAAAATATACATTAAGGAAAATATACGATCATATATCCTCCAATACTCTCCTTCACGTTGGAGTGTGAAGATTTAGAACATCCAACTTGGATACTAAATGTTGAAATGGAACTCGACCAAACGCCTTCGTCAAGATATCTGCTATCTGTTAGTCTGTACGAATATGTTGTAGGACGATGATGCCGTCTGTAACTGCATCACGAACGGAATGACAGTCCGACTCGATATGCTTGGTACGTTCATAGAAGACCGGATTAGTGGCAATGTGAATGGCTGCTTTGCTGTCACAAAAGAAACGTGTAGGAGCTGTTTGAGAAACTCCAAGACTAGATAATAAGCGCCGTATCCATTTAATCTCCCTTAGCGCAGCAGCTATAGTACTCAGCTTCAGCGGAAGAATGTGAGACAGTCTTTTGTTTCTTAGTCTTCCAAGCAATTGGCGATCCTCCAAGCATGACAACAAAGGCACTAAGAGAGCAGCGGGTTAACGGACAAGACGCCCAATCCGCATCGCAGTAAATTGTAAGCGTAAGATCAGAGTCGGATTTGAGAAGATGCCTTGACCAGGCATCCCTTTTAAGAAACTCACAACCCGAAGAGCTGTCTGCCAATGAGCTTCCGTAGGAGCCTGCATGAATTGAGACAAAATGTGCACCGAATAACACAGCTCAGGGCGAGTGTTCAAGAGATAAATCAGGCGACCCACAAGACGCTGATACTTAGTTGCATCGTCGAGAACAGGGCTATCAATGGTGGCAAGCTGATGATTTTGTTCAAGTGGTGTGCAAGCCGGCTTTGAACCTAGGTTTCCTGTCTCAGAAACAATATCTAAAGCATACTTACGTTGGGACAAAAAAATTCCTTCTGGACCACGACTTACTTCAATACCAAGAAAGTATTTCAATTTCCCCAAGTCTTTCATCGCAAAGCACCGGCCCAAATACTCTTTAAACTTCTGAAGCATATATGAATCATTGCCGCATATAAGAAGGTCATCCACATAGATGAGGACACGAAGCTCAATGCTTTTGCGTGAATAGGAGAATAAAGAGTAATCATCATAGGATTGCATGAGCCCAAACTTGAGAAGGGAGTCCGAGAGCTTCTTAAACCAACATCTCGGAGCTTGCTTGAGTCCGTATAAAGACTTTCGGAGGCGACACACTGTGCCTGGATGTGTATGTCTAAAACCCGAAGGAAGTTTCATATAAACTTCTTTCGTCAGATCCCCGTGAAGAAAAGCGTTTTGTACGTACATCTGGTAAACTTCCCAGTTATGAGCTGAGACAAGACACAAAACCGTACGCACAGTATTCATCTTAACCACAGGAGCGAATGTCTCATCATAGTCTTCTCCTTCAATTTGATTGTTGCCTTGAACAACGAGGCGAGCTTTGTAGCGTTCCACCGTGCCATCTGAATTATACTTGACTTTAAACACCCATTGACTACCAATCGCTTCTTTTCCAACGGAAAGATCAACAATATCCCACGTATGTTTTTCTTCTAGTGCAATGACTTCTGTAGTCATGGCATTGTTCCAGACTTTAATACGCACAGCATTTTTAAAATGCTTAGGCTCACTCTCAGCAGTGATAGCCGCAAGATACGCACGATGCCCTGGTGAAAAATGTTCAGCCGTTATATAATCAGACAGAGGATATACGGAGTTACCTGGAGCCGTTGACGAAGACATGGAAAGTGAACCAGTGGGAGAGGGAAGAGTGTGATGTGCTTTATAGACGATATAATCTTTAAGCTTGACGGATACTTGTTTGTCACGGAAACCTCTGCCTAGAGCCTCCTGTTGAGGAGAATCAGTATCGGAGTCCTCAACGGTTGGCAAATCCTCGATAACTGGTGAGGCTTGATCAATCGGAGAAGACAGAGAATCAGTATCGGAGTCCTCAACTGTTGGCAAATCCTCTAAAACTGGCGAATCGTCAACGATGGGAGAATCAGCACGAGTCGGTGTAGATGGTGAAGACGTTGTAACCCCAACCGGCATATCTACAACCGGAGAGGGAATGCTCCCCCTGACATCGAGAAGCCAGTCGTCATCGCCAACATACATTGGGAGAGACGACGATACTGGAGCGGAAGCAGGTTGTGCAAAGGGGAATACATCCTCTCAGAAAACGACATCCCGAGACACCAAAAACTCATTACGGTCAAGGTCATATACTTTCCAACCTTTCTTGCCGAACGGGTAACCAAGAAAGACACATGATCGACTTCTTTGAGAAAATTTATCCTTATCCCGAAGCAAGCGATGAACATAGCAAGCAGAACCGAACACGCGAAGCTGACTGTAATCAGGTTTGACACGGTGGAGTATTTCAAACGGAGAACGTCCTTGATGTAAACTAGTAGGAGTGCGATTGATTAAATATGCCGCTGTGAGAACTGCCTCTCCCTAAAACTTAAGGGGAAGATTAGCCTGAAACAACAACGCACGGGAGACATTGAGAATGTGTCTGTGCTTTCTCTCTACCCTGCCATTCTGTTGCGGTGTCGCGGCATATGATGTCTGGTGGATGATACCATTATCTTTAAAGAAAGGCAACAGCATGAACTCCGTACCATTGTCACTGGGAACTGTTCAGACCACCTTGTTGAATTGACGTTCCGCATATACTAGAAACTGCTTTAAGACATGTTTAACTTCAGATTTTTCCAGCAACAAGTAGGTCCAGATTGCGCGAGAGAAGTCATCTATGATTGTGAGAAAATAAACTGTACCGCAAGAAGAGGGAACGCGGTATGGACCCCAAACGTTAACATGAATAAGAGAAAAACATTCCATTGTTTTATTCATACTATCATAAAAAACTTCACGAGTTTGCTTGGCTTTAAAACAAATGTCGCATGAACTTACACTAGTAGGTTTCTTAGAACTAGAAAACAAATCCAAATCCAAAAATACTGAAAATGACGGATGCCCCAAACGTTGATGCCACAAAGTGTAGTCAGAAACTCCAACTGCTCGATGACTTTTTGCTGAGAATTGATCCGTAAAGTAGTACACACCATCCCTCTCTTCACCGGTTCCAATCATGGTCCTCAAAAAACGGTCCTGTAAAATGCAAATCGTGTCAGACAATATAGCAAAGCAGTTTGTTTGTTTAAGCAACTTTGCAACGGATATGAGTGTGCAATTTAAATTTGGAACATAGAGCACGCTTGTAAGAGTAATCTTGGGCGATAAGGAAAGCGATCCCATGCTTGTTGCAAGTGTTTTGCTGCCATCAGCAAAAGCAACAGAGCAAGGTCGTATATTCTCGATATGTGTTAAGAGCGTTAGGTGTCCCGTCATGTGATGAGACGCACCTGTATTGAGAATAACATCGCCAAGAGAATTCTTACCAGACAACTTGTCGAAGCCAACAGACGGTGATTTTGTCTGAACCAGCTGTGTAAGAACCTTCCATTGATCATCCGTAAACTCTGGGAACGGGGACGAGTTCGACTTTGTAGCATGGGCTACGTTAGCTTGACTACGTCCACGTCCTGAACTGTTGGAGTTTGAACCACGACCTCCTCTTCCACGACCAGAACCTGGCTGTCCTCGACCAGCACTTTGATTGCGTTCTGTATACCAATCTGGAAACCCGACGAGTTGCCAACAATCTTTCTTTTCATGCCCTGTTCTTCCACAATGTGAACAGAGAGCTCATGATCGCAGAATTGAGTTCTCTGCTCTATTGTTGTCTTCTGATGCAGCAGCCTGTTGATGAGGAGCAGAACTAGTTGACTGTTGGCGAGCGTAGAATCCCACAATCTCTTGAGTTTGGTTCCTAGCAGAGGAAATCCTCTGTTCTTCTCGGACAATTTTGTTGTAAATTTCAGCAAGCAGAGGAAGAGGATCAGTGCTGATGATGTTTGTGGAAATACTCCCAAATCTGGAATCATCAAGACCTAACACGAATTGATGTATCTTCTCGTGTTCTCTTTCACGCTCGATACTCTTCGCTCCTCCACACGAGCACACATGAACTGGCTGATACACCTGCAATTCTTCCCACAACGTCGAAAGTTTGCCAAAATAATCCAACACTGATTGTCCATCCTGCTGACATGTCATCAGCTGCGCCTTGATTTGATGAACTCGAACTGTGTTGCCGACAGAGAAACGTTGCTCAAGATTTTCCCATAGTAAGTGCGCATTTGTGATGTATGTTACAGTGGATTTAACTTTGGGGGTGATGGATGAGCGGATCCACCCAATAATCATAGATTTGACAGTCAACCAATTTTCCAAATCGGGACTATCACTTGCAGTCCTTTTCAATGTGCCATTGATGAAAGCTAACTTTCTTTTAGCTTGAAGGGCGTTGAGCATCTCCGAGCACCATTCATTGTAGTTTTCTCCATTCAACTGAACGGAGGTGATCGTAAAACCAGGATTATCAGATCCGTACAACGAGTACGGCGAAACCGACACAGTTTCTTCATTCTTCTCCACCACAGGCTTTGAAGCACTTGATGAGTCAACTAGACCAGACATGATACACGATCAAGAGAGAAACAGAAAATTTTAGGTCTTATTGAATCTTATGCTCTGATACCATGTAGATTAAGATACCGAGAACTGAATGCTTTTTATTAAACAGAACACCAAGTATTTATACAACGATGAAGTCGGTTCTAAACCCAACGCTAATCTAGGAAAATATACTTATCACGTTAAGGAAATTATACATATTCCTAAAGATATACATTAAGGAGAATATACGAACATATATCCTCCAATATCAGCCAAAAACACGACGTCGTGTTTTGGCGATGTGGAGGAAACGGATTAGCCGGCTCGTACACGCCATCAGTTTCAGGAGCCGATCTAGCGCCAAGGTTAAAGGTGATGATGGCCTGAGTAGAAGTTGGTTAAGGCATTCGCCCTCCACCAACAAAAAATCCGAGAACTGATTACTTCTCAAAATTTGCTACAATGTTTTGCATAAACATTTTATTACAATCTCTCTCTCTCTCTCTCTCTCTCTTACAATATTTTGGGTTTTTTTGTGAATCTAAATTGAATCAATCATTCATCCTCTTTCTGAATATAAATTGAATTAATCATTCATTTTATTTTTTTATAACGATATGGTGGAATATTAGATGTTGGTTAACATATCTTAATAGATCAAACGAATCAATATTGAGCCATTGACTCACAGATGAATTCAGTTTTTTAAATATATGGTCAATTTGTGACACAAAAAAAAATCATCATAAATAGCTAATCTATAATAATAAAAATAT